TTAAACTCTCCTTGGCAGTCCACTTTTTCTCATATCCTTGTCAACACTTGGTATTGTTTGTGTTTTTTTTCTTTAACCATTCTGGTGGGCATTTAGTCAAATCACATTGCAGTCTTAATTTTATTTCCCTAATGATTAATGATATTCATTTTTTCCACATATTTATAGGCTATTTAGATACTGTTTTTCAAAGTTTCTGTTCATTTCTATGGAACGGTCTGCCTTACTCATTCATAAGATTTTATTCACATATTCTGAAGCATTTTACTGATCTCTTTTCTCCCCCTTTGGCAGTCTAGTTGTACATATGTATGTTGCTCATTTCAATTCATTCTAGGACTGGGTTGGATTGGGGTAGTTGCAGTTAATAAGACTCAGTCTATCTCTAATTTTTCTTTTTCTTGGGCATACTTCTCCCAGGCTTTTAATTGAGAGGTTGGAGGGTCTTTGTCTCCTCAGCCCTGAAATCCAGAGTTTGATCTAGCTCTGCCATTCACAGGTTTCCAGACAAGGCTCTTTAGCCTTGTGCTTCATGAAACTTCAGAATCCGGTGAATGTCTTCATGGGAAGGAAGACCTGCTTGTGTTTGTGGCATGTTCTCTCCCCTCAGCTGGCCTTTGTTTCCTATATGTTTCCACAGATAGGAAGGATAGTTTACCTCTGCCCTTTGAAGTTTTACATCTAGTTCCCCGGCTTCCCTTGCAGGTCCATAACTAAGTAAAATCTAAAATGGGACACTAGGGATGAGAGTCCTTAAGTTTCAAAATTTTTACCCCAGTCCCATGAACCACTAAAAACTCTGCTAGTTTCTTCTCTAGCAGAGGTTCTCGGCTTGGTACAAACTTGAATTTATAAAAATGTATATGGCTTCTTTAATTGTTACGGTGGGAGCCCTGGTCTGCCTCCACTCTTCTTCCCCCATTACTCCCAGGATACATTCCCAACATGACTTTTCTGGTCCCTTCTTATCAGCGCTCATTTCTTTTTTCCTTTCTAATTTTTTGTCTCTGTACTGGAGTTTCAGTTTGTGATTGAATCATCCTCTTGCTTCTCAGTTTTACAAATACCTGAAACATATGTCTGTTTCCTCCCCTTCATCTGGATAACTCTTACTCGTCTTCCCAATCTCAGTTTAGAAATGAAGTGTTCCTTGATGTCTCCCTACCCATACACATGCTCAGATATGGGTATGACATCCTCTGTCTGCTCCCATAAAGCTCTTATGTGTTCCCAATTTTAGTAATTATCCCACTGTTTCATAATGGCTCACCTCCTTACTTGTCTGTATCTTCCACCGGGCTCTAGAAAAAGCTTATCTGTATACCTCTGTTCCATATTACATTCTTGTCACAAAGCACCATGCTCATTACATTTGACATTCTGTTGAAATGGATGCCTAAAGTGTTAAATTAATATTTAAAGGCTTTAAGAATTAGGAGGAAATCTGAGGAGAAAAACTAAAAATAAAAATACCTTTTGGTGGGGCGTCTGGGTGGCTCTGTCATTGAGCGTCTGCCTTCAGCTCAGGTCATGATCCCAGGGTCCTGGGATCAAGCCCCGTGTTGGGCTCCCTGCTCAGCGGGAAGCCTGCTTCTCCCTCTCCCACTCCCCTTGCTTGTGTTCCCTCTCTTGCTATCTCTCTCTGTCAAATAAATAAATAAAATCTTAAAAAAAAAAAAAGATTCAGACACTTAACCGGAAAAAAAAAAACTTTCATTAAAAAAATAGTAAGCACTTACAAGCTAAATGAAATCCTAATGTGAAGTACTTTTAGAAAACAACAGTTTGTATGTATGTATGATAAACAGGGACATGAAAGGATGGTACAAAAATGTTGGGATGATTATCATAGGATAATAGAATATCAAATAATTTTTACCTTTTTCTTTATATCTATATGTATTTGATCCTTTGCAATGAACATTGTATGTCATCAATTATAAAATATGAAGCAGTTTTCATTGAGGTAAAAGAAGAAAACAAACATGAGACTAAGATATTTAATTAAATCCTCCAGGAGGATTTGTTGAATGCATAAATGTGACCCAGTAGTTACGGAAATGGATAAAGTGCTCAGAATTGAAGATTGGAGTGAAATAAAGAGTTCAGAGGAAAAAAATCCCCAATTTACCTCAAATATCAGGATAAATTCCAAATGGATCAAAGAATTAAATGTAAACTATGAAACATTCAAGGGCTGGAAGAAAACATTAGTGAGTAAGCTAGGAATAGGGAAAACTTCTCTAACTGATCTAACATCTAGAAGCAATTATGAAAAGATTGATGATTTGATTATATTAAAAGTTTTACATGGCAGGAAAAAAACCTTAAGCAAAATAAAAAGACAAGTGACAAACTTGAAAAACATAACTTACATCAAAGAAAAGAAGCTAGTATCCCTAATATAAAAAGCTGCTAAAATGAGATGAAAAAGACCAACAACCCTAAAGAAGAAAAAAAATAGTAAATACCTTTTATTTGGAAAAGATGTTCAGTGTCCCCCATGAACCAAGAAATGCAAAATTAAAGTAAATAGAGACACCATTTCTCATCTATCAAATGAGCAAAAAAATTTTAAAAAGTTTAAAAACACACTCTGTTGATAAGCCTGTGGAGAAATGTCAGTCCTCACACATTGTGAATTCAAATACAGACTTTATTGGAGGGGAGTTCACAGTATCTAAGAAAGTCATATAAGCATTTGCTTTTTTACTCAGTAATTCTGCTTCTAAGGATCTTTTTCATAGACACATTAGCAAAACTATGAAAAGACGTATTCACAAGACTATTCATTGGATCATTATTTGGAATAGAAAAATACTAGAAGTAGTCCAAGTGTTCAACACTTAGGTGATTAAACAAACTGTGATGTGTCTATAGAATGGAATGCCATGCAGCTATTTAAAAAGAATGAGAGGCCAAAAAAAAGGAATGAGGAATAGCTTTATATGCTACTATGGAACGATCTCCAAGATACGATAAGTTAAAAAAGTGGAGAAATATGTGTGCAGGGTACTATTGTTTACCTAAGATAGGGAGTGGTATAAATATACATTTTGGTTTATATTTTTAAGAAATGGAAGAATGAACCATAAAATCCAGAAAATGATTACCAATAGCAGGAGTGGGGGAGTCGGAGGGTATCTGTGAAGAATACATTAGGGAGACCAGGGATAAAATCTAGACTTCTTTGAACCTACTTTGTTGTGTAGATTTAACTTCAAAGTCCTATAAATATTCTTTGTAGTTATAAAATGGAATGAAAATGAAAGAAGAAATAACTAAAAATCAAAAGTAAAATGGAAAATCTTAATGCAGATATTTGTCCAGTTGGTGGCAAAACCACATGGAGAGGCACTCTTTCATTTGACTACTTTATAGTAATTGGTTTTTTAGCCCTATTGGGATATATTGAAAGGACAATGAGAATTCCCCCCAAAAGCCCATGAACTCTTTTAAGTAATCGTGTTACTGATGGTAGTATTATTACCGTTATTCTCAGACTGTTGTGTGTGTTCTATGGAAGGCGTACTTGATTCTGTGAAGAAAGCTGAAAACTAGAAACATTTATAGGGAGATGGAGGGTAAGAAGTTGAAGGAATTTTTTTTGGGTGACCTTTATTTTTTTCTGTGAGATAACAAGGGTGGTCATTTTCATATTGTAAGTGGATTCAAGATTAGCTAGTTAGGTTGGAAGAGAATATGTGTGCTTTATATTCCTGCTAAAAGGGATGATTGTAGGATAGAATTCATACCCAGTTGGTGGATTCTGTAACTTTGTGTTGCTGCTATTATAGAAAAACACAACTAGGAAACCTCCTAGTGATCATAGCCAGATATAGGCAGGCAATTATTCTGTCCTAATTATACGGATATATAGTTTACACAAGGGGTAACCCCAGGTGGTTGTTTTTTGTTTTTGTTTTTTTAAGTCTGATTCTCCATTCAAAACCTAGTGTTTTAGCTTTGATCAAATTTTCCATTCAAAAGTTGCATTTTAATGTCTGCTTATCTTAAATAGGGCTTCTCTGTGTTTTAAAAAGTTCTAAATGGAAGAGGATATTTGCAAATGATATATCTGGTAAGGGTTACTATCCAATATATATAAAGAACTCATACAACTCAGCACCCAAAAAAACTCCACCAAAAACAAAAACAAAGAACCTGATTAAACATGGGCAGAGGACCTGAATAGACATTTTTCCAAAAAAGACATACCAACAGGTACATGAAAAGATGCTCAGCATCATTAATCATCAGGGAAATGCAAATCAAAACCACAGTGAGCTACTACCTCACATCTGTCAGAATGACTAGAATCAAAAAACCAAAAAATAACAAGTGATTAGGATGTGGAGAAAAAGGAACCCTCGTACACTGTTGATGGGAATGTAAATTGGTGCAGCCACTGTGGAAATATGGAGGTTCCTCAAAAAAATTAAAAATAGAACTATCATATGATCTGGCAATTCTACTTCTGGGTATTTATCCAGGATTTTTAAAGATTTCTATTACTGATTCCTAATCTAGAACATGCTTTGTATAACTTGAAAGTTTTTACATCTATTCAGACTGTTTATGGCATCAAATATTGTTGATCTGGATATTCCACTTCAAAATGTGTACTTTGCTGTTTTGGATGAAGTATTATATAACGTCAATTAAGTGAATTTGGGTATTGTTTAGATTTTCTATATGCTTACTGATTTTCTGTGTACTTGTTTTATCAGTTATTGCGAGAGAAGGAATTGAAATCTTCAATTGTAATTGCTGATTTGTCTGTTTTCTTATAGATCAGGCTTCGGAATATGTGTTTCACATATCGAATGCAGTGAATAGGAGGAAAATTACTTTTACTAGCATTATTTTAAAAAGCCTCATTAGAATATATCTTTGGTTTGTCCTTTAGTATAGGCTATTTGTAGCATCAACATATACAAAAGAAAATTTATTTGCCACATTTTATTTTATTTTCTTATCCATTTTATTTTGCTTGGCAGCTTCTATGTTTTTGAAACAGGCATTCGAAGGAGAATACCCTAAATTATTACGTCTTTATAATGACTTATGGAAGCGTCTTCAACAATACAGCCAAAATATTCAAGGAAAGTTTAATGCAAGTGGAACTACAGACCTCTATGTTGACCTACAACACATGGAAGATGATACACAAGACATATTCATACCAAAAAAGCCAGATTATGAGTATGTTTGTTTAATCAAATCTGTTTGTTGTCATGATAAGGATTTTGTCTTCTGCTTTTATTATAAATTAGAAAATGGGAATATGCTAATCTTCTGTATATTTGTAATGGTCATGATTTATATGTATACTGTAGAAGACTTTGCAATACTTAAATGAAGAAGTCAGACTTGATCCTTAGTTAAGCAGCCTGGTTCCTAACTGGAATCTGATGTAAAGTACAGCACCAAGTAGGGTGAGTAGAAGCTAAGAGATGAGCATATGTGGTCACTATGTTTTAATTGGTAATATACCTGTAATTACATCAGATAGTATCATTATTGATGGACCACTGGCATAAATATGATATAAAAGTAACTGGTGTGTTCAGGAACTATAAGGGAAATAAATCTTATGATGGGATAGCTTCTCAGTCTGGTAGGAAGAAACTGAGTGTAGTCACAGTTAAGCCTGAAATCTCTTAGCTTACTCATAAAATACAGTATATATAGCCATAGTTAGGTGCAACTTTGGAAAACTGTATACCATCTCAGTAAGTTTAAGCCAGCCAACTCTCCTCCTTACTTGAAAAAGAATATTATTTTCAGATTTCTCTTTGAACCACAAATCAATTGATTGGCTTGCACATTTTCTTTAAATACTAGAATCATTTACTGTGACAAGGCTGACTCAGGTAACAGCAGATTCTTATCACCTACCTTGTAAAAAAGATGCTCAGTGGGTATAAATGTTTCTCTTTCAGTTTTTATTTTTCTAAATACTTAAGTTGTATCCACCATAGTAAGAAGTCCTGGCTAGTGAAATACAGGATGTAGAAGTTTTCTCTGGCAAAATAAATGGCATGGCTGTAGGCTGGGAAGATAGAATGAGACTACATTTTTCTCTTCAATAACTCTTTTATGCTAAACATGGAAATTAGGTAAGATAATGGAAGAAGGACAAGAGAACTGAACTCATTTCTTGATCTACAAAGATCTAATAAGTTTTTTTAATATTATATAAAATACAATATATAATACCATTCTATTTTTGGCATGATTTTATTTTTAAATCCATATTTTGGCCCCTAAAAAGGTCTGGAAGTATACACAGTAAATGGTGATAGTGGTTTATCTCCAGGAGGTAGAACTTTTGTTTTGTATTTTGTGCTTTCCTTAAAATTAAAAAGGAGTGTGGTCCAGGAAAGAGAGGAGACAGAACCCTGTCAGTACCACTGTTCTCTGTGGGTGACTGTGGGCATACCCAAAGCTATGCCTCTCTGACAAAGGTTTCACACTGTGGGGGAGAAATAGACTTCACTAAAATAATCTAGCCAGTCACTAAACAAGCCCTAGAGGTGCAGAGATCTAGTACCCAGAGTTGCAATAACGTATTATCTGAAATGTCCAGTTTCTAACAAAAATAGTGAAGCATACAAAGAAATATAACAGTATGACCCATACACTGAGGGGAAAAAAAAAGCAACAGAGACTGTGAGAGTGACCAAACATCAGATTTAATAGAATAAGACTTCAAATTAGCCATTAGAAGTATGTTCACAGAAATAAAAGAAAGCATGATTAAGTAAAGGACTATATGATGACCATGTTGCATCAAATGGAGAATATCAATACAAAGATGAAAATTATAAAAAAAGAAGCAAATGCTGCAGTTGAATAGTTGTCACTAAAATTTAAAAAATCACTGGAGGGACCCAACAATAGATTTGAACTGGCATTTATAAAATTAGCCAACTGGAAACTAGACTTAATGTAGGCCTAAAAACAGATAGGAAGAAATTTTTTTAAAAAAATGAACAGAGCCTCAGAGAAATGTGTGGCATCATTAAACATACCAACACACATGTAATGGGAGTGCCACAATAAGAGGAGAGAAAGGAGAAGAAAAAATATTCAAAGACATAATGGCTGAAAACTTCCCAAATTTATTGAAAAACAACCTACACACCCACGAAGCTCAACAAACTCCAAGTAGGATTAACTCATAAAGACCACAAACAGACACATCATAGTATAAGTGTTCAAAGTGAAAGACAAGGAGAAAATCTTGATAGCCAGCAAAGAAAAACTACTCAACACTTATAAGGGAGCCCCAAAAGATTTACAGCTGACTTCTCAGCAGAAACAAAGGAGACCAGAAGGTGGGGCTCGAAGTGCTCAAAGAAGGAAATTGTGAAGCAACAATCCTATATTCAATAAAGCTGTTATTCTTAATGAAGAGAAGTAAAGACTTACCTAGATAAACAAAAACTGAGAGAATTTGTTGCTAGCAGACCTAATTTGCAAGAAATAGTACAGGAAGTTCTTCAGGCTCATAACCAGGCCATCTCAGTTGGTAATTCAAGTACACGCAAATAAAGAGCACCAGTAAAGAGAGTGAGGAAATAATAAAAGATACTACAAATGCGTATTTTCTCCTTTTTTCCCTTACCTGATTTAAAATGCAGTTGTATAAAATATGTATAGAATGTATTGGTCACCTTATCCTATCCAAAATAGGATGAAAAAAAAAAAGAGAGAGACAGCTGAACACATTCTTTCTGGCTTGCTTGCTTTATTTTTCTCTTAAAACTTATGACTCTCATATTCCATATTTAAAACACTTGAAAAATTTGTGTTTATTTATTTATTTTTTTAAGATTTTATTTATTTTTTGACAGAGAGAGAGACAGCGAGAGAGGGAACACAAGCAGGGGGAGTGGGAGAGGGAGAAGCAGGCTTCCCGCAGAGCAGGGAGCCCGATGCGGGGCTCGATCCCAGGACCGCGGGATCATGACCCGAGCCAAAGGCAGACACTCAACGACTGAGCCACCCAGGCGCCCCATAAATTTGTGTTTATTTTTGTGTGTGTCTTTCTCATTAGCAACCTTAAGTTTCTCGTTAGTAAAGTTTAAGAGGACAGGGAATTTTGACTTCTCTACTGTATTTTCCACACCCAGGAATTAGCTGGCAAATTGTAGAGACTTAATAGTATTTGTAGGAGGGAAGGAGATCGGGACAGTGGGGATATGAAAAGTTGTGTTCAAGCTTGGAGATCTTAGAAGAGTAGTTCAAAATGATGATTCAAATATGGAAGCTCCTTAGTAAAGCTAAAGTAAGAGCAGACTTCTCAAACAGGATGGGTTTTAGGACAGCTATCAGTTTGTTTGTTTGTTTGTTTGTTTGTTTTTAAGATTTTATTTATTTATTTGACAGAGAGACACAGCAAGAGAGGGAACACAAGCAGGGGGAGTGGGAGAGGGAGAAGCAGGCTTCCTGCCGAACATGACCTGAGCCGAAGGCAGACGCTTAACAGCTGAGCCAGGCACCCCAGAAAGTTATCAGTTTTGACATTGTAGTCACCAAGAATCTTAGTGCAGATTCGGAGACAGGAGGAGTGTTAGTACTTATAATTCAGAACTGAAATATCTGCAGAAGAGGAAAGAGGCTTCTTAAGGTCAGTAAATAACAGGAGCAAAAATAGCAAGACATTTAAATAGATGGTATGGTCTTCGATAGAGGATTGCCTCAGGCAGATTTAGATACTGTCCTCCCTGTTCCCATTGTATTTTATCTTCACCTATTCTAGAAATCACTATAGTTAGCACTTTACCTGCACATTTCTTCCCTGCATTGTAAAGTACTTGTAATCTACATCTTCCCAGCACTTAACAAGGCCTGGTACATAGTATTCTCAGTAAATCAGTGCTGAGGGAAATACTTACTGAATGAGAAATGTTAAGAGATAACTATGGAATTATGTACAAGCCAAGAGCACTGTGACCTCTAGGGCTCATTAGATAACCAGAAAGGGTGGGAAAAGAAAAAAGCCAGGTTTCATAAATTACACGATGGAGCAAATCAGCTGTTTTTAAGGTTGACGTTTAGAATGAAGGGGGATTTGTTTAAGAAAAAAAAAAGACAATGGAAGGACTGGTAGAAGGATTATAAACAGGAGCAACGTGAGGAGATAAGGAGTTAATTATAGGAATAAGAAAGCAGATGGAAATAATGGTTGTAGACATTTGATAGTAATTGCCAAAGGAAAAATAGAAGACCCGAGAGTGGGACTGCCAACTGAAAATACAAATAATTGGAGACATGGGAAGATTAAGAAAGAAAGATGCGTATAGTAGGCTAAGTTCCAGTTTGTGAAGAATATGGTGAAACAAATGAGCTTACAACTCCAACTGAGAGGATTTATGTGATTGCAGCACTTTCAGAAACACTTTTTATTTGTCCCCATTCTGTTCGTTTGGCATTGGAAGACTGATAACTGCCTAGACCCTGTGCACTTCCCTCTCGGGGAGCTCTGTGAGAAATGGCGGCTGTGGGTGGAAAGAGTCGAGTCAGTGGAGCAGCTTTCTGCTCACTTGGCTCTCTCGTGAAGCTTTGATACTCTCTGAAAACGATTTCCTAAGCAAAGGCATAGCCCCATTAGAATTAGTAAGATTTTACATTGCTATTCTTTTAGTTTCAAATGACAGACTTACTTCAGTAGATACTGGCATATATTATATTACATTTATACATAGGACTTATAAATAAAAATGTTTAGTTCTCAATAAATGTTTAGTTATGAAATGTATTTGTAAATATATACATTTTTAAACAGAATTTTTTCTTTTTGTTCATAAAAACGTTTTATATAGAAGATAGGTTTTTTAAGAAAGGTGTTTACAACCCAATACAAGAGCATTTAGTTTTGTATAATCTGAATTCAGTTTTAATAAATTTTGCCCTCACAGCCCAGAAAAGGCTTTGAAAGACTCACTGCAACCCTATGAAGCTGCTTATTTATCAAAATCTTTATCTCGACTCTTTGATCCTATCAACTTGGTTTTTCCCCCTGGTGGTCGCAATCCTCCTTCCGCGGATGAACTTGAAGGTATCATTAAAACTATAGCAAGGTACGTGTTTTTATATAGTGGCATGCTGTAAAATGCTTGCCACATTTGTTAGTGGTGTTTTAATTTACTTCAAATTATTCAAGTAATTAGTCCTGCAATTAAATCAAGAGTTTTGCAGTGAATCAGTACACATATAGTAAGTACTTAAGATTCCAATTAATAAAATCATTTAAATACAGTCTAAAAATAGCTTATAATTATTCTGTATCTTGTCAAGGATGCAAAGTAAACCTAATTTTTATGCCATAGTAAATAATATTATATAGTAAAATAAGCACAAAAATAATTTTACAAACTGAGAAGTTAAAGCATAGAGCTTAGTGTTTATTATCTTAAACCCATAAAGTACTTAATGGCATACACAGGATTATAATCTTGATTAGCCTACTTGTGTTTGCTATTTTGAGCTTTCTAAGTGAATGTGACAGCTTTTAAAACTCTCAAAAGGCAAGGTATCCTCGTAGAGGTGCCACCTGAATGCTTGCAGATAATGTAATTATACTGTTGCCTTAGACATTTACACTTGCCCAGATGAATTTGCAGTTAAGACTATCTCAGTTCCTGTCACAGCTAACAAGTTGTCATAACAGTAGGTCTGTACATTTGTAGATGAACATTTTGAGAAATAAAAATAGGCAATAGAGGACCAAAGTATAGAACTGTCTAGATTGTTTTAGATTGCGGATTTGAAGCTGGTGACTTGCAGGCATGTGCAGTAGGATTGAGAAGCCACAGATATAATGTCTGGGAGCATATATCCAGCTGCAGACATACCTATATGGTGTCGAAATTGCCGTACATCTTGATCTTGAATCTTTCCATAATTATCGTGACTTACCAAAGTCCTGACTAGATTTTTTTACTATAATGTCTCTGTTTTCTGTTGGGTATAGTAGTGACAAGAACAATCTTGTATTCAATTTGATCTTTTTTTTTTTTGCAATTTGATCTTTTGACCTATTTATGGAAATGTTAAAGAGGCATCTCTCCCATTCTTCTGGGCAGCTTGGCAATACTGTAATCAAATATAACATGAAGCTTGAAGAAGCATAGTTATTGCCAGTATTCAGTAGCATTTGAAAGTGAGCATTAATAAAGTTATGTCTCACTATTTATGAAGGGCATTTTTATCACACACAGTATGCACCAGTGTTGTTTCAAAGTCCTTCACTTTCTTCATAAAGAGAATCTGTTAAGTGCCAAGATTTATTTTGCTACTTCAGAGACAATAATTTTCCTGCTTTCTACCTGTGTATGGGTTTTTGTGCAGTTTTTAACTCCTAGTATTTTTTCCATGGTCTTTGTAAACACTTTTTTTTTCTTTTTGGCAGTCCCAACCAATCCAGTGTTAAAGTTGAAAATAAGTGTGGCAAAGAAGTACTTCAAGACTCCAAATTTTAAAATTTCAAATTAAATTTTTGTTATGCTTTTGATATATTTAAAAAGCTACTCTACAAAATAGCATGGATTGACATAATTTCTACAGAAACTGAGCATCTTTATGTATCATGTGTAATTTATATTTTTAGCCTATGTCCTTCCAAGGTCATCATTTCCATTCAAAAGCTGTCATTTCCTTGCAGATGTCTGATATGCAATGTCTCTAATTGCACTTATCAGTATTAACAAGAGTGCTACTTTAAAAATCTGAACACAATTTACTCTCTTAATCACAGCCTGAACCCACACATGACGTGCTTTTATTAATGAGAAACTGGTCATTAACCAAACCATCTCAAAGCACTTTTTCCTAATGCTGAATTTAGGAGGAAAAATTAAACAATGCAACCAATTCTTGGAAGCAATCAGTGAAATCTATAAAAAGAATCACTACACTGCTTATTGGGTTTAAGTTTATATGTTGTTCTCTTCTTGTTGATGAACTATGTTGCTAATAATTAAAGTCTGTTTTTGTTTTATGCAGTGAACTAAATGTAGCTGCTGTAGATGCAGACCTCACATTAGCCGTGTCAAAAAATGTGGCAAAGACCGTCCAGTTATATGGTGTAAAATCGGAGCAGCTTGTAAGTGATACCCTTCTGTTAGAGCTTGTGATTTTGTTTAAAATTGCTACTCCTACTTGACTATAAGTATCAGTATTGAATTGACTGAATATTAATTTACTGGTGGTTTTACTTTATTGAAATTTTGAAACTTTCTGATGAATTTGAACCCCCCCAAAAGTTAGATCTATTTAAAAAAATGGCCCTCCTACCGTTGTTATACTTTCAGAATGTAGGAAGGTTTTATAAGGCTTTTAAAAAAAATGCTTGTACCACCTTATGGCCTAATTTATATTTTTATATATATACATATACATATACATACATGTAAATATAATTGTCTCGGATTGATCAAAATTCCCCGGTGTTGTGACCACTCACCCCAGATATCTATCATTCATGCAGTTTACCTGTTGTGAAATTGACTTGAACTATTAAAAAATGGCTAGAGGAAGTGAAGTGCTTAAAATTGTGATAAAAAATGTTGATTTACTTTTGAAGCTTTTAACCCTAGAACATGGAAGTTTAACCCTAAAATAATTTTATTTGAAATATTATTTGTATTTAAAATAATGTATAATTAGCTGAATCATAATCCTAATTTTATGTATTGATGTTTTAAAGTTAAGCACACATGTTTAAATAGTGTATATGTATGCTACCTGAATCTAAAGAACAAGGCTTTAGTTTATTTTCAGCTGTGCTGCTAGATGAATTTTAAGGCATGTGCCAAAATCTCTACTGTCTTTACAGGAGTGACCAACCATGTTTTTCACTTTAGCCTCTCTGACTGCTCCCAGATGAAACATCATAAAATGAAGTAATGTGGTTTTACCTATATTCTAGTAGTTCTAGTTGGTTCTGGAATGATTTTTAGGGTAGGTTGGTAACAGATTGAACTGAAGGAATTTGCATAAAATGATCCTTGGTGGGAACGGTCATATCATGTGGCTTCTTTCAGTTCCAGTGGATGGCCGCATTTTATTTGCCTGTTAATGTGCTGTTTTCCATTCAGTTGTTCTGGTAGCCTTGACAAGCAATTTAGAAGCAGCTTTTTAAAACTTAGTTTATTGAAAACTGGCCCTATATACAGACCATGGCAGCTCTTCGTAGGTAATTAGACGACTAATTTTTCTCTCAAACTTATTTAATAGAAGCTTTTTTAATGATGTTCATTCCTTTTAAAAGCATGGTTTATTGCTACAAATAAAATTCAGTATTATATCCAATAGAATCTAGTGTAATTACTGCAAATGTCAGGAAAAAAATCATTAGATAGTCCCGCCTGAGAACAACATTATAAGGAAGAACCAGCATATGTATAGAAAATATTTTGCTTTTTTCGCTCAGCATAATAAAGACATGTATCATATGATCTCACTGATATGAGGAATTCTTAATCTCAGGAAACAAACTGAGAATTGCTGGAGTGGTGGGGGGTGGGAGGG